GTATTAATCCAGCAATGGATCTTTTGCTGTGCAGGTATACAATGAACCTTCCTAGCTACATTAAAAAGCATAGGAAGTTCCAGTCGCTTTTTCTTCCAAAAGATTAATGTGTCCTCTTCTGGGATATTATTTTGGCTGAGCAAAATATGGCATTCTTGTTCTAGATTTTTGATGTTTGACCTCAACTTGACTTTCACTCTGTGCATTTCTATCATGCTCTAAAAGTTTTGGATGTCGAATTAAAAATTGCAATGATGTCGCAGAATTAGAATTTAAATATTCTGAAACAACTTTAAGATTTTGAAATCTGGGATCAAGTAGAGTCGCTAATATCTATTAAGTTCAGTAATGGGAAACCTATGGTCAAGCTTTTTCTCTTCATATTTTATTTTAAAAGTAAATAATATCTGAGCAATCAGATCTATTGATTTGTATATGGGTTTCTATTTCACTGCGAAATAATAACAGAGTTTATTGTCGATCCCTTTTGGGAAGAAGGAAATTCCACCGACTCTCGGAATGGGTTTAATACTGCGTAAAGCTCATCAATCATTCCCATTCATTATTAAAGAGTTTTAAAGATTGTTTTCCTATTTTATATAACATTATTTATAGGAATTTTGTCTACACTGCGAACACTTTCTAGCATATATGCTATGCCAGCGGGTAGGGCAATCTAATTTTAAAGTTTTTGAATTAATTAGATTGGATGGTGCAATGCCATTTCTATTATCCGATTTCAGACTCAAAATGGTCATCAAGGTAGGGATCAGAATCATCAATATCTAAGATATTACATGTCTCATAAATTGAATGCAGACATTTACGATGTTCAGTCTCAATTTCACATTCCAAATCTACTCGATATCTAAGGGCTAAATAATTTCTCTAATTTTTTAATGAGAATATCAATTTTGGTAACTTTTTTTATGCCATCAACTGTAACCAAATTATGAAGTTCATGCTCTAGGCATAAATGATGCTCATAATCCCCTAATCTGACGCTTCTTTTGACATTAGCCCCAGCATCAGTTACCATCTATATTATTTTGGCTTTGAATTGAAACGATACCATCAATCTCCGATAATATGGTTTCCTCAGTATGCTTTTGAGTCATATTTCTAGTTGCTAGGGTAAAATATTTTAAATCAAAATTTTCATCTAAATGATGAAGACTAAATGTGATATGATTTCGACGCTTGAAATGATCGATGCATAAATCAAAAGTGATACAAAATTTTGGTCCAGAATCAATCAAATTTAAAACATGCTCCTTTATAGATAAATAAACATCGTCTAGGGCACTTAGACTAATGGTTGTCCTATTTGGCAATTCTGACGAGGAATCAATTATCTTATATTTCTATTTTTTGGGCAATTTATTTTTTAATATTCATTTTATATAAATTTTAAACCTTTAGAAAATCTGTCATCTTTATTGTTTATAGAATCAAATGGCATTAAATCTAAGCAGCACATCAAAACATAATTTCGCCCTATTAGATTTCATATTTATTTTAAACATTAAAAAGATATTTAAAAAACATCAAAATAATTAGAGCTGGAATGAAACAAATTATAAATTAGATTAAGTTTTAACTTTTAAAATAAAGCTTTACATAATTAATTAAAAAATTTTATATTTAAGTTTATACTTTAAAACGATATTTAAAAACAATATAATTAGAGCTGGAAAAAATAAAGTTTTAAATAATTTATTTAATAAATTATATATTAAGTAATATATTTAAAAAGATATTTAAAAAATATAATAGTTAGAGTTGGATTGAAACAAATGATCAATTTGATTTAGTATTAACTTTCAAAATAAAGTTTTAAATAATTAATTTAATAAATTATATATTAAGTTTATACATTAAAAAGACATTTAAAAATATAATAGTAAGAGTTGGAATGAAACAAATGACTAATTTGATATAGTAGTAACTTTCAAAATAAAGTTATACACAATTTTAATAAATTATATATTAAATTTTTATATTAAAAAGATCTCCAAATAGCTGACCATAAATAAACTAAATTTTTAGTTCTTTTGAACTTTCAAAATAAAGCTAAATAAAATTAATTTAACAAACCAGTTAAAATTTTTTAATGAATAATAATAAATAATAATATTAACTTAAGAGCCATTTTTCTTTTATATTGTTGATGCATCTTGGTGTTGGCTTTAAAAACATTTCTAAACTTTGAATGGATTTAATTATTCATTTTCTGATAGTTTGTGATAATTGATTAAGTGACGAGATAGATTGCTTGTACTTATATTTTTTCTAAAACATTTTATTTCATAACTAAAATATAAAATATTTATAAATATAAGTCTAAAAAAATAAATTACTGTCAAAATAAATCATGTTAAACAAGGTTCATAATAAATCTAATCAGGCAATATTGTGCTTTTCTTATTTTTATTCTTCAAAATAAGATTTCCAAAGTACCTCCAGATATAACTTGATTTATGATTAGTAGAGAGAATTGTTATTTCATAATTGTATATAGGGTGGTTTAAAACGAGCACGTCCATAAAAATAATTTATATGATTTGTTTCGGAAATAAAATTTGATGTAGGAATGAATGTAAATGATACACATTAGTCTATTATATATATATATATATATATATATAGTAAAAGAATACAATATTTTAATTTTATTAATGTTAGTATTCAAATTAAAATAATAATAATTTAATATATATATATAATTAATATGTTTTCTAAAAATTTTTATTACGGCGCAGCCGCCATAATAAAAATTGGCGGATAGTCTGTTCGATCCGATGATCTTATTCGACGGCTTTTCCGTGGTGAATAAAAATACCGGCGACGCACATATCTAGGTATGACTCAGTCAAGGAGGGGAGGGGGTGAAGGGGTTGTGTAAAAATAATTTTTTTGATATGGGTATCAAATAAAAACTAATTTTAATATGGTTTTACTGAAAGTCTTAATTCTTGCTCTTGGTAGGTATGACTTTGTCTAGAGGGAGGGGGGGGGGTGTGTAAAAATAATTTTTTTTGATATGGGTATCAAATAAAAACTAATTTTAATATGGTTTTAATGAAAGTTTTAATTCTTGCTCTTGGTAGGTATGACTTTGTCTAGAGGGAGGGGGGGGGTGTGTAAAAATAATTTTTTTGATATGGGTATCAAATAAAAACTAATTTTAATATGGTTTTACTGAAAGTCTTAATTCTTGCTCTTGGTAGGTATGACTCAGTCTAGGAGGGGAGGGGGTGAAGGGGTTGTGTAAAAATAATTTTTTTGATATGGGTATCAAATAAAAACTAATTTTAATATGGTTTTACTGAAAGTCTTAATTCTTGCTCTTGGTAGGTATGACTTTGTCTAGAGGGAGGGGGGGGGGTGTGTAAAAATAATTTTTTTTGATATGGGTATCAAATAAAAACTAATTTTAATATGGTTTTAATGAAAGTTTTAATTCTTGCTCTTGGTAGGTATGACTTTGTCTAGAGGGAGGGGGGGGGTGTGTAAAAATAATTTTTTTGATATGGGTATCAAATAAAAACTAATTTTAATATGGTTTTACTGAAAGTCTTAATTCTTGCTCTTGGTAGGTATGACTTTGTCTAGAGGGAGGGGGGGGGGTGTGTAAAAATAATTTTTTTTGATATGGGTATCAAATAAAAACTAATTTTAATATGGTTTTAATGAAAGTTTTAATTCTTGCTCTTGGTAGGTATGACTTTGTCTAGAGGGAGGGGGGGGGTGTGTAAAAATAATTTTTTTGATATGGGTATCAAATAAAAACTAATTTTAATATGGTTTTACTGAAAGTCTTAATTCTTGCTCTTGATAGGTATGACTTTGTCTAGAGGGAGGGGGGGGTGTGTAAAAATAATTTTTTTGATATGGGTATCAAATAAAAATTAATTTTAATATGGTTTTACTGAAAGTCTTAATTCTTGCTCTTGGTAGGTATGACTTTGTCTAGAGGGAGGGGGGGGGGTGTGTAAAAATAATTTTTTTGATATGGGTATCAAATAAATTTTAATATGGTTTTACTGAAAGTCTTAATTCTTGCTCTTGGTAGGTATGACTTTGTCTAGAGGGAGGGGGGGGGGGTGTGTAAAAATAATTTTTTTGATATGGGTATCAAATAAAAGCTACTTTTAATATGGTTTGACTGAAACTCTTGGTTTCGATGTGTTTACTTGGTTTTGGGGGGTGTAAAAAATAATTTTTTTTTTGATATGGGTATCAAATAAAAGCTAGGTTTGACTGAAATTTTTATTCTTGGTCTTGATGGGTATGACTTGTTCTGGAGGGTGGGGGTAAAGGGGAATATTCGAATTCAAATAAAAAGTAATTTAATAAACATTTACCTGTATGATTTTTATTATTGTGATGTGTCTTATATATTTCTCCCAATTCGTATAATATAATAATTGGCTTGTTTTTCTTAGAACACATTATAGTTTTATTTTTTAAATAAAAAGTGCTTTAATTTTAGATTGTAGTTTGGCATCTATTCCATTAATGTTTATATAATTTTTCGTCATGAGAATTTGTTTATAAATTTGATATTGGGTTTGATTTTTAGGCAAAACTAATTCTGGCATTATTAAAAATATTAATATTTTGAATTATTAATATATAAAAAAAAATTGAAATTAAGTATTAACTAAAAAAAATATTCTAAATCTTAACTTTTTTATTACCTTTTATAAAAAATTTTTTATATACCTTTTATTATAGGAAAAAGTTCTACGTAATATATTTTTCCAAAATAAAAATTGAAAGAAATTTTTGTTTTTAGTATTTTTATCATTAATTTATTCCTTAAAAAAATAACAGATATCATATAAAATGGAAATAAATTACTCATGACACTAACATTATTGAAAATTGAAAATGAAATATTTTAAAATTGAGAAGGAGAAAGAGGGAGATAAGAAAAAAAGGTAGCATTTTATAATGTTGTTAAAAGCTATTTTTACCTTTTTGTACAATAGCGGTAAAGATATACACCTTATATTTTATTTAATCAAAATGTAAATTTTGAAACATAATAGATAAATACAATAAATTATTGATACTAATCAATAAAAATTTTGAAACATAATAGATAAATACAATAAATTATTGATAATAATCAATAAAAATTTTGAATTTTGATATTCGTAAGAGTTTGGAAATTCTAATAATCGTAAGAGTTGGGGAAATGTTCAGGATACTTATCGGGAACCTCTTGGTATGCGGAATTCTATATTTCTTTTCTTTTTGGAAGGATAAGAGGATCTAATGCAAGTCAATATACTTTGATCCCATATTGTTCCTTTAGCACATAGCATTACGTAGTGAATACTAGCCAAGGAACATTGAATGAACTTATTAGGTAAAACTGGGTGAGGGTAATAAAAACGTTGAATAGGGTCATTTGGGTATAAGATAGGACATGGGTTAGGACCTTTATAAAAAAACATAATAAATAAAACAAATTATCGATATAATCGCCTATACTTATATCAAGTTCGCACACGTAGGGTAGTAAGGTGGTACAAGATTCAGGAACCAAACTTATGTTATTGCGTTTTAAGCATGTGCGGCTAGGATAACTAAATAAAAATAAAATATTTTAAACAAAAATTATTATTTAAACCTAATGTCATTTCCAACCCATATATAATTTCCTAGGGAAATTTGTGAGACTAATTGCTTGTTTATTCATAAATTGATATTAAATATATATATGAACCTAAATTATTTTAATACTAAAAAAATTTTTTTTTTTACTAGTTCTGGATCATTGTCAATTATGACTAAAGCAGAGTTTTTAAAGGACGAACAGTAAATCTTTGCGTTAAACCAAGTGGATGGTTCTGCTAATTTATAGCAAGTATTACTGTTTGGCAACAACATCCACCCAGGAGGACATGCAACTAAATAAAATATATAAATGTTGTTAAATGTTTATAAATATCTCGCATATCCAGAATTTTTAAGGTAATAGAAATCGAGCTTAACTCAATAAAGCCAAAATAAAAGTTTAAATTAGGGCCATTAATTCTGGCATAAAATTCTAAAAAAGTGAATTCTGAATCCAGTTTCCTAAATTCATCGGGATTTAAAATCACTCAATTTATAATTATTTACTGAAAGCCATTTTTAAATCTAAGGTCTTGAACGAAAATACTCCCAACAGGTTTAGTGTTTACACTTTCTGAATTTTAAACAATTTTGCCACAAAAACTATAAAGAATTCAATTTGTGTTTATTTTTATATCGATTCCTTATGTTAATTGAAAAATTCACAAATTTAGTGTTTAAGGCTCAATTCGTGCCAATTTTTAAAAATGGCCAACCTCAATATTGCCCAAAATATTGACTAAGCTTTGAAATTTAGCTAATAGATGTCCACCTTAGTGCCATCATCTGTGAGCAGAATCTTTAAAAGCCTGAGGAATCTATTTCTGGAATTATGCTAAAAACTGTTGTTAAAAAAACAGATTTCACGACATTTAAAAATGAGTTCTGGTTCTTATAAATTTTAATTACTATAGTTTTTACTTGGAGGTGGAGTACCAAGAACGGAATCAAGTAATGTTAATAAATATATAAATACAATAAATTTTGAAAACATTTTATTGGAAAGCAGAAATTTAATAAGAATTTTTTTTAATTTTAAAAGAATTAAATTATGAGATATTTCCTAAAAATTATTAAATAAAATTTGATCAAGGTCAAAATGAAATTATATTTTCAAGTTGAGACAAATTTGGACCAAATATATATATATATGACAACATTAATTAGATATATAGATCTATTATGTAAATTTATTTCAAAGAATTTTGAAATGTTTGTGTAATTTCTAAATTTCACAAACGCCGCGTATTAAAATATTTTTTTAAATTGATACAATTTATTATTCACAAATACTTTTACATTCGTAAAATGAACCATACTGAATATTTAAATTTATAATTATTATGCCAATTAATTACCATTTTATCAAAAATATTATCGAATTAATTTATAATAAATTATTGAGCCTTGTAGCTATTTACTACTTCAAAATATCAAAATTACCTATAACTTACTCTTCGCTACATTCTCTACCTCTCACTTAGTTTCACATAGAGAGCGACTTGTTGGAATCTACCGTTTTGAATGTAAACTAACTTTTTTATTGTTATCGAGAACGAAGAATAGTTAGCTCAAAATTTTATTATCTAAGCATCTAGGATGCGAATATAGATGGCAGAATGATTATTAAAGCTCAAGGCTCGAGTAAGGATTTTGGGCGAAAATCATGATATTTATATATTAAAAAAGTTTTTGTCACCCCTAAATAGTATTCATTTAGACTCACGAAGAAGAGATTTTTATGATATAAACGTGATGGGGACTTAAATTTGCCCAATAGCATTTGATAGTAAAGATATATTTTTTAAAAAAGTGTTTAAATAAAGGATAAGTTTAATGGTTATTCGAAATAATATAACTAAACTGTATTGGAGATCGGGGATCTTGTGAATCTTGATTCCTGCAAGAGGGTTTTCTTCAAGAGCATTAAACTCTAACTAACCCTTTTATGCATATGCGGCTATGAAAATATCCCATTTTATATATTTTCACATATGCATATGTATTACTATATAAAAAAAATTTTAATCACAATTTAAATGAATTTTAAAACCTTTATATAAAATAATTTTTTCAAATGCTTACAATTTTTCGTAAAAAAAAAAATATCTTTTATAAACTACAGTAATATTAAATTTTAGTTCTACTCGAAAAAATATCTGTAGATAGTTTTCGAAGTTCATACGATCCATTTACATTAGCAATTTTAATATTTATAATATGACCTATGTATTATGATCTTAATTTTTTTTAAAAAAAAATTTTTAATACCGCAAAACATTAAAAATAGCTTATGTTAATTTTATTTATTTATTTATATTTTTAAGATTTTGGACGCAGCCAAAATAAATATTTTATCTTTCTTTCTTTCTTTCTTTCTTTCTTTCTTTCTTTCTTTCTTTCTTTCTTTCTTTCTTTCTTTCTTTCTTTCTTTCTTTCTTTCTTTCTTTCTTTCTTTCTTTCTTTCTTTCTTTCTTTCTTTCTTTCTTTCTTTCTTTCTTTCTTTCTTTCTTTCTTTCTTTCTTTCTTTCTTTCTTTCTTTCTTTCTGAGACCTATGATTCAAACTGGAAAAACTATTCGTTTATTTTACCTTGTCTTCTCCTTTAAAATTTTTCTGCTCCACCTAATTTAGCAATTTTATAAAAATATTTATTTAACCATTCTTACTACCTCATGTACCGCCGATAGGGTCATGAGTAATAAATTAAAACAATATACCACGAAAGATCCAATTTCTTAATAATTTAACCATTTTATCAATGAAATTTTTTTTTTTATATAAAACATTTTTAAATATTGTTGAAAATTATAAATTCTTTCGTTTTCTCTTCCCCCTAATTTTGTCTAAATTATTAATTTAAAACAAAAACCTGTAGGCCCGGCCCTAAGTCCTATCCGTGTAATTTTTTTAAATATACCCGGGCCGGGCCTGAAATTTTTTTAAAAAAATATCCGGGCTGGGCAGTATACTTTAAAACCAAATATTCGAAGTCGCCATTATTAGTTATAAAAATCGAAAATAAATAAAATATATTTTTAAAAACAAGCCAAACCGGGCCTGAAAATCTAAAATCCGGGCTTGGCCGAAAAAAGGAAACCTCTTCAGGTCTATGATTTAAAAATAATATTTTTAGAGTATATATATATTTTTTAACATTTTATTTATAGATTGATGCAATAAAAATTATTTTTTGAAATTTATGAGTTTCAAGACATTTTTTTTCTAAGAGAGAGGGGGGGGGGGGTACTTTTCAGGGGGATATTCTACCTCCATCTCTCAAGATACAGAAGTTCTAAGGATTATCGAGATAAAATTTTTTAGTAAAAAATTTGATTTATCCAAGGAAATTATTAATTTAATAATGTTTTAAATTGGTAAACCATACAATTCTTTAGTCTCAATTTTAATTTTTAATTTATTAAAGGTATGGAACGAGGCTGCTACTCAAATCTTTTACTCCTTAGGACCAGGATGGAGTGGGCTCATTACAATGGCAAGTTATAACCGCTTTCATAACAACTGTCTCAAGTAAGTTCCTTTATGCTTTAGAAAATCTTCAAATTATCAATTCAGGGGTGTGTGTTCAATTTTTTAAAAATAGCTTATTTTTAAAAAAAAGTAAAAAAGAGAAATAATGCTACGCTAAAGTAGTGGTAAATCTTAAAATAATATTAATTTGTTTAAAATAAAAGCGATGGTATAAATATATGTATCGCAGGATATATTGGATTTCGGTGTATACGGAGATCTTTAATATTTAAATCATTTATAGCGCGTATTTTTATTTCTTAAAGACTTTATTTAGCCGGAATTGTGTTCCAGCATCTCGATACTATCTAACTTTGAAGTTCAGACGATTGTCATGATATTTTGTCTTCACTATGATAGATATAGAAAATTTATTTGAATTAATATTGATTCGAAAATTCCTTGACAAAATTGTCTGAAATAAATATTTGAGTATATACTGTACTACAGATATTCAGACGAAATCAAGTATTATAAAATTAAAAATCTAATAAATGATTTCTGTAGCACATAATTACTTTTATTTATAATAGTTTAACTTTGAATGGTTAACAAGAGTTTTTATATATTATTTAACAAATGTTTGCGGCGATATAAAAATAACCATAATATATTCATATTTAATAAAAAAAATATATTTAAATAAATTAATCGTTTGGTTATAATGTACCTTTTTAAAATTAAATAAGTTTGAACTGTAATACCAAACGATTTGTAAATTTAATAAAATATAATCATTTTTAAATTCTTATTTTTAAAATTATCAAAAATGAGAAGAAAAAAATATTGAGAAATGCTCAAAAAAAATAAAGATTAAAAATGACGGGATTAAAAATTAAAAATGTATGTAAAAGATTACAATGAAAAAATCATAAAAAGAATATTGTATGTATGATTAAAAAAAAACTTGTTAAAAAAGTGGACCTTAAATTTATAAATTATTTTTAAAAATACAAAAGAATTATCAAAAATGAGAAGAAAAATAAATTGAGAGAAGATATAGTAAGAAAAATAAAAGTAAAGAAAATCGCCAAAAGTTAAAAATAAATTGAAAAAAACGTAAAGAAATGGCAAAAATTTAGAAATAAATTAAGAAGGAATAACAAAAATAAATAAAAATTTAAAAAAATTACGATTTTCCTTTTTTGAATGGGAATTTTCCTTTTTTGATTGGACACTTTTCCTTTCCTTTTGGGAATCTTCCTTTTTTGATTGATACTTTTCCTTTTTTGATTGGACCTTTTCCTTTTTTGTTTGACACTTTTCCTTTTTTGACACTTTTCCTTTTTTGTTTGACACTTTCCCTTTTTTGGTTGAACCTTTTCCTTTTATGATTGAAACTTTTCCTTTTTTAAATGGGAAACTCTGTATATAATCTCCATAATCAAAACATGATCGTTTTCATAACATCTTTATGTATTCAATTAAGGAGACTATATAGTGTAATGTTAATTTTTTGCCATCTACCAGTATCGAACCACAAAAGTCCTGTTTCAAAAGTCAACGCTTTACGTATGCACCAACTTGAATTATAATCACATTTAAAATATTAATTATATATATTAATTAATAGCTGATATTTTATAAAATTTTGCCGTTTTTTACCATATTGAATTGACTTAATTAGCTGATATTTTTAAAATCTTGACGTTTATTACCATATTGTCTAGAAATTTGAATGGGCAAAATTTAAAATAGAGATGCTTGAAAATTTTTTAATTAAATATGGGCTAGACATTGGCCTGAAAATTTTTTCTTACCCACATATCCAGGCCTGATCAAAAAACTAAGTCCCATGCAACTTTCATATAATTTTGCCAAATAATAAAAAAAAAAATTAAAATAATAGAAAAATTTTTTGTGCTCCGATCCCTGTTTCCAGGGATTTTTTTTTTACTAAGCACAATCCTTTTGTTTGGAACGAGAATTTTCAGCCCTAATACTATAAATTTACATAACCAGTGTTGTTAAAATATATTTTTTAAATGGATCTAGATACAGATACATGGTCTAAAATAATATCTAGATACAGATACCACATTTTTATATCTAGATATCCTTTAACAACTCTGGCTTTAACCATGTAGAAGTAGATATTATATAAAAAATTTGTCAGTTACTAAAAAGAGAGGTTATATATATTATATTAATCTTTTGTGATTAATTTTGACGTTTCTCGTTTTCTTAAAATTTATTTAAATGTTCTGGTAAAATATCATTTTAAACAAAAAGAAATGATCATTTTCTAAGTGTCAGGTGCTACTCAGATGTCACAGATCTGGATTGAGGCTCATCACGCTATTTTCTTTCGATTGGCATCCATTATTGTATAAATGGCAATCAACTAAGCAAAAAAAAGATACGTTTCTTATTTGTTACCTTTATTTCCTGTATAATCTTTTAATTATATTTTAACCAAAATTTATTATATATCCTCCCAGGGATAGTTGTATAGTTTCTCTCGTCAATTGCGGAACGAGCGTTTACGCAGGTCTCCTAGTGTTTTCCATCTTAGGTTTCATGTCACACGTTTTGGATCTACCTTTGGAACAAGTTGCTACAGAAGGTTCAGAGATACTTTTATAATCATTTAGACCTTCTTCTATTTTTAGCTATTATTAAGAAATTATAGGGACGAAATTTAATGACATTTTGTCTCCTTTTATTTGAATCAATTTTTCAATGCATATAACAGTTTTTATAATCTAGGCATATGTGTTATGTGTTATATCCTAAAGTGAGTGGGTGCCTATTAAGCCACCATTCATAATATATATTAACACTAAAATCGTCCAAAAGATTGGATTTAAATAAAAATATTGTTGGAACAAAAGAAAATATTTATTAGCAAAGTAATAATCTCAATAGCCCACTTACCTAGCAATAATTATTAGTAGCATTTTATATTTGAATTGTCTCTTTGTTGCAACGTTAGTGTAGTTAATACATAATATATATATATAGTAAATGCTAGCGAAGGCCTGTGTTAGACTAATAGAGTTAATACCATATAGAATGAATAAAAATTTTTATAACATTTATTATTTCTTTCATTTAGCATTATTTTTATATAATCATTATGATTGGCAGATAATTTTATATTTACATGATATCCCCAAAATCAGGACATGGCGTGCTCCACGTGAAAAGGATTTTAATGTCAATAATTAGATATAATTGACATTTTATCACAAAATAAATATTAATCTATAATTGGTAATGTTTTATTTTGGCTCCACAAATCCAATAATTAATTTCATATAGTTAATATTTGTTGTAAATGTATATTATTCAGGGGGTGCTTAATTTCGCCACAATAAAACAACACGCCAATCAAATGTGACAAATAAATATTGAATAGTGAATCTCTAAATATATTTTCTGCAAACTAGAGGAACTGCGATAAATTATAAAGGTAATGTTATCAGCTTTCAGTACACAATCTCTACTGATAGTTATATCTCCCATGAGGGTCTTCTTGCGATGATCCCTATATTTATAAAAATTTTAATTTGAATTTAAAGATGCTGACTGGATTATATTGCTTTAATAGAGTTCCTCAGGTTTCTGTCACTCGGGATATAATAACTTTCTAAATTGTGCTCACTCGCTAAAGATTGGGCAAATACCTTCTAAGATATTTAGCAATAATTGCTTTAAAGAGAGATCTGCGAAATAATTATAAAGTTATTTATCATTATTTTCCAAAAGTCAATCAAAATAGTTTATAATTTATTAAGTTGGGCTTAGGTTTGGAAAGTCCATTAGTAGAGGTCTGCATTGGGAGATCGGGTGGGTGGCCGACAAAATTTTTTTTTAATAATGAGCAGGCGGGCTGGTTAAAAAAAATTTTAAACTATGGGCGGATCAAGAAATTTAAACATGGGAGGGAAGTTTAAATCATTTAATTAAATATTAATAAAAAATTGTTCTTATGAATGTTTTTGGATAATTAAAAATTAAAATGTGCTATTTTGGGTATCAAAAACTTTTTTTTTCTCTTAAAATAAATTAACTTTTTTGTATATTTAAAACTACTTTGGTGAAACGACAAGAAAGAGATTTACTAAAGTTATCAAGTGGCAATCCCTGCAACTAGTGCTTCTTCTGAACTAGGAGCGTTGCAAGAAGGTTTTTGGAAACAAAGAAGAACGTGTTCGAATCCAGGAAATGGCGATTCATTTATTATTATCGCATTATAATTAAATTATAATATCGATTTTATATTCATATTTTTTTTGCCATAAAATATCTTTATTCGATCAAATAAATTATCCATAATTTAAAATTGAATTTTTTTGTTATGCTTAATATAGTTCCTAAATGATAAGAACTTTTTGTAGAGGTGTTATGCTAAATTTTTTTTTACTGTCTCTATGTTTCAAATTCACTTGGATATTTTAGGATGTATTTTTTAACATCCTTTACCTTAGTTGCCCATAGATATTTGGGGAATTCTATCCACCAATTTTTTTAGTGGGTTTTTGTTAGAGTTGTGGGTTAATTGCGTTTATCACGTGACTAATCTTGTCGCATTACTTAACTCCTGAGAGACGAGGTGGGGAAAAAGCTAGCGGTTAGATAGGGTATATCGAATCCCCATATTTAAAACATTTTATAACTCATCCACCATATATTTATGTTTAAATTTTAATAATAAAAGCGGGGAACTTATTAATGATTTACATAATTTAAATTTCCTATTTCTGATATCGTAAATTTAAATGAAATATGCAAAACAATAAATAAAATAGATTTGATCGCCAAAAGGGAAAGAAAGAAATTAAACTGAAATTGAAATAAGGAAAAACAGTGCTGTTAAACTAACTAACACTTTACTCAACCATAAAACAGCGTGGCCATGTTTTTATTTTAAAAAATATTCGAAATCGATCATCAAAGGTAGAACTCAACTTGGCTTAATTCAAATTTTTAGGACTAAAAGCTTGAATTATGACACAATAGAGATGGTCAAAGTTAGGCGATTTAACAATACTAAATGAATGGCTAAAAATGATAAAAGGATTAGAGGGTGGGGGATTTTTTATTTTTAAGACCATGCTAAAAAATGAGAAGGAAAAAAAAAATTAAAAAAAGTTAGAAAATATGGCAAAAATCACTTAAAATTAGAGAAAGATCAGCAAAAAGTTAGAAAATAATGAGAAGAGAAATGCGACACCTCTCAAAGGATTATTAAAATAAAACAAATTATAAATAGGGAATTTGTCCTTTCCCTTGCTTGCGCGACTTTTACACTTTTCTTCTTTTTTTTTAAATTGACGCTTTCATTTATTTGATTGACCCTTTTCTTTTTTTTGACTTTTTGACTTTTTTGATTGGGACTTTTTGCTTTTATGTGAAAAATCCTGCATATCTCCATTCAATTACTTTTTTAAATTACAATTTATCTTTAAAGGCATGCCCCCCCCTGACCCCAAATGTCTACTCTAATTACCATCCGGATTTCGTGCTGAAGCGAAGAGAAGAGAAGATATCCAAAGAGTCTCCCAATAGATTAAATTGGATTGATCGATAAATAATTAGATTCACTATGTTCAACAATATAAATTGGCGTACCCGTATTGGTTATTAAGTTCAAAAGACGCGTTTAAAATAATTAAAAACATAATTTTTCTAAGTCGGCATAAACCTTAAGGTTACAAATTTTTTTAGGCAGATTTAGTTTTTAGAATTATCTTAATAATATATATATATATTTGAAAGGACTCGGCTTAGCCTTCATAGTTTATCCCGAAGCGTTGCTTTATCTTCCGGTGTCTTCCTTATGGTCAATTCTTTTCTTTTTAATGCTGTTTACCGTCGGAATAGATACCATAGTAAATTTTAAAATTTAAAAAAAAATAATTTTAAAATATTTCCCTGGAAATTTGCCGGTCTAATTTTTTAAGTATTCACTCTTCTCTTGGATGATATATAACCCCCTTTTTTTAAAAAATATACATATATTTTTTTTTTATAGTCCTTTTTAATGTCTTCGTAGATTATATATAATATATTATATATTTAATTTTTTTTTATATTTAATTTTTAATATATATTTTTTTAATCCTCTGTAATTTAATGATTATGAATAAATAATAAAGTTTTAAAAAAAATAATTTAAAAATATAAATATTTATTCGTTGGATCAAACATTTTTTCTTTTATATAAAAAAAAGAGATTACAAATAAACAATATTTCTTCATTAACCATCCATCATCCTCTCTATTACCTTTAATATTTCCTGTAAATCAAAATTATATCTTGAGTGAATACCCTAAGGCCGCATTCATAGTGGGTCCGATCCGACTGAGAACTAATATTTCTTAGGTTATTATCATGTGTAGAATTAAAGATAAAATTAATGTTATTTAAAAAAAAATATTGATTCTGGTAAACATATTTTAAAAATCGATCAGCTGTTAAATCGTGTCGGATAGGATCCACTATGAATGCGGCCTAAATATGACAAATCATAGTTACTACTTACTAATGTTGTTAAGCGGCTCTGAACCGATTTTTTAAAAACGGCTAACTCAGTATTTTAGCCAGAAAATTTCGCTAATAGATGTCAGAACCTTTGCTTCACTTCTACAGACAGAATCTTCAGGGCTCGCGTAGTATTATTCTAGAAAAAATATTGAGTTAGCCGTTTTTATAAAAAAATTGGCTTAAAACGAGCCGTTTAACAACACTGGTTACGACTATTTTAAAAACAGTTAAAGTGTTTATTTTTTGTGTTTTTTAAAAAAATAATATTCAAATTATATTTTATATTCTTTCATGTTTTATTATATATACTTTATTTTGTTTATTAAGTTCGTATCTTTGGAAGTTCTGTTCTCTGCCATTTTCGACCAACTGCCAGAAAAGTATCGAGATAAACAAATGTACTGGAATTTGATCACTTCGATACTCTTAATGCTACTCGGGTTTCCTTTTCTATTAAAGGTGTGAAATTTTACATTTTATTTTAAATGCTTTGAATAATTTCACTCCTCTTCTTTCCTTTGGAATCATTATTTTTACCCCCCCCCCCTTCCTTCCTTACCTCTCTCCTAATTAGTGTAAAAGTGCATGGATTATTTAGAATCTTTAGATTCTTTGTATTAGATAACATGCAATTTTTATTAGGGCCAATTCTTAGGTGTAGCGAACCCTAAGAAATTTTGCCTCTTCATGTAAATATCATTTCAACCACCTCCCCCCTCACCCACATCCATCTTTACTAAATTTATCATATATTACTAACAACTATTAGAAAGAAAAATAATTAAAAGTTAATAATTTTAAAATAAGGACTATTATAATTAACTATTATAAAAATGCCAATATAATTATTATACAAATCTAACATAGCCAAAGGCCTACAATAATTAGATGTAAAGACTCAAAATTTATGAGGAAAACTCATTTAATAAGACCCCGCTCCCCTAGCAAAATGCAAACTACGTCTATGAGCCCAACATATAGGTTGGGAATATACATTAAAGTGCTTCATAGAATACCTAAAATTAGTCATCTTTTCTAATAACACCGTTCGTTTTTATTTTAAAATGATAAATGTTAATGGTTAAAAATATTATGTCGGTTACACCGTAGAGCCTTTTTTTAAAAAATCTCTTTAATTATTAAAAACGATATTTTAAAATGGAAATGGTTTATATATATTAAAATATAAAATACGAAATTTTATCGTGGCATAGGGAGGTATTTACTTGTTTCAACTCTTCGATTGGTACGTCGGAATTCTATCGATTATGACTTTTTGCTTGATCGAAACGTGCGTGGTTTGTTGGATATACGGTAAATTTTTCTCATATCCTTGCCAATACGATTCGTTAAATTATCAAATTATTTTTCGTAATGATGAAGTAAGATTTTTGGTTAATTGGTCGACATTTAATGCATATCGGGCCCAATTTTTCAAGCCCGGCCCGGATTTTAAAATGGTTTACCGACCAGGCCCTTATTTATTTAAATATAGAAATTAATTTTTGTAATTGCTCAAAATAAAAGACATATGTTATTATGACGTTTAGTTTCAATAAATTAAATCAAAAATTTTTTATTTTACATAAAAAATTCGATATAAAATTGATAAATTTAGATATATTCAAAAAAATTTCTAAGGTCCGACCCGACCCGGCCCGATTTTTTAAAAAAAATATTAGGTCCGGTCCGGCCCGAACTCGATTATTTTTAAATAGAAACCGGCCCGAGTCCGGCACGAGCGGGCTTTGGGCCGGGGCAGGTACGGGCCGTCTCTAATATATAGTGCGATCTTTTATTTATGAGTATGATTATAATTGGTTAAAATTAGTCGCATGAATGTATCCCATGATATTTTTCGTTTTAAAAATTATTTACGTAAAGAATTCATTTTGACATTTTTTGAGAGTTTTTTTAAATAAAAATTTTAGGTTTTTTAAAAGATAATATTTATTTGTGTTAAATGAAGCGTTTTTTTTAGCTTTTAAAGATATAAAATATAAGAATGTTTTAGTTTTTTTTTTCTACATAAAATTGTATTTCAAGACGTAATTTTACTGCGGTATATTATTTGTATCGTGATTAAAATATATCTATTAAAATAGTGTTTGAAGCTTTGGAGTGAAACCACCTTTTTTTAATATGAGTCCCTATTTACTTCAGATGATATAGTCAGAAATATATCTAGAGAATCTAGAAGAGCGATGACTTTAAATTTCATAAATTGGGTCCAGAATTTTTGACAGCAATTAGTGAAAACTGAATAAACCTTCGCCGTAAGCACATAAAACCCTGTCACCTAAGTGCCGAGACAGTTCAAACATAATTTTGCTTATTCATTTGACTACTATGTGGGATAATGATTAAAATGATTTACAAACATATAATAACCAAATGATATGTTTTTGGGTCTTGGTATTATTTACCAATTAGATAAAACATCTTAAAAACTGTTTTATATTTGAAATACACATTATTTTTATAGTTAAATCGCAAAAAAAAAACAATAGGAAGTCAGCGATTTGTGGACGACATACAATGCATGTTGGAAGAAAATTTAAAAGGTGCCCTTATTTGGAAAATATTATGGTCCGCTGTCAACCCTATAATTTTATGCGTACATCTGATATCTATAATTATATATTAAATTCTTACATATATTTATAAAAAAATAATATTCTCTTCTTCTTCTGTTTGCATGCCCGTACCTTTGGTGAAAAATTGGAAAGATTTTCAACATAATGTGTATTTGTAAATTATATGTCTTTTTTTTTCAAATTAAATTACTGCCTAAAAAAAGAAAAAAATCGATTGTATAATTATTCGTCATCCCTTTGTATCATAATTTAAAAAACCAAATATTTTTTAACCTAAATTTTATTTTTATTTTATTATAAAAATATATTTAGACTATGATAGTTTCGAATATGCTGTATCATGTACCTATCTACTATGGAAATTACGTATATCCTCAATGGTCTATTAGAATGGGCTGGGCCATCAGTTGTATTAGCCTGATCCCCATTCCTATTTACGCTATTTGTTACCTATATTTCTGCCTTCCTGGAGAAACTTTTATAAAAGTATTAAAAAAAACATATCTTCTTGCATTATAAAAAAACGAAATGAATTATAATGAACTAATTAAGTATGCTCTTCAGAGCAAAATAATTATTAAATCGGCTATCTTGTGATTAGCGTTGTTAAAAGGCTCGTTTTGAACGGATTTTTAAAAACGGCTAACTCAATTAATTTAGCCAGAAAAATATAGGCTAAGCCTTGAGATCTCGATAATATATGTATGGACCTTTGTTCCTGCTATGAGCATAATCTTCAGGCTTGCGTAATATTTTTCTAGGGGAAGTATTGAGTTTCGTGATAATATAGACAAAACAAATTTAAGATTAAATATTCGAATTATATTACAAAAAAAATAGCTAATATTTTGTTTTGTCATATTCATACTGTAACATTTTGAAATTTTTTTTAAGGATTGAGAGATTAGAACCGTTGTCAAATCAGAAAAGTTAGAACTAAAATGATACTAACTCTTTATTAAATAATAAGTTAAAAATATAATCAAACTAAATTAATTAAAAAAAATTAAATAATGATACTAACTCTTTATTAAATAATAAGTTAAAAATATAATCAAACTAAATTAAAAAAAATTAAAATAATAAAAAATTAAAATTAAAAATTATAATTAAGTTCGTAAAATCATGATCTCCCTTTATACAAATATCCTCGAATATATATATACTTTTCTATATTTCATTTACATAATGTTTTACAAACAAACTGAAAAAATCTTGAACTTTCTTTAATTTGAATAATCATTCTTTTTTATTCCTCTTTCTTTAAATCATTTGCATTCGAAATTTAATTCTTTTTTCTTGAGTAGATTTGAATATCCTTCGGCTTTGTAATTTGGTTTAACAATTACAACACATACGAATTCGGGGAATTTATAGATACCAGAAAAGTGGATTTTATCAAGCATAGAGAATGGGTAAGAATTCAAAAGTAGAATGAGAAACAAAGAAAATTCACTGTCCATTAGAGAAGGATCTAGAATTAGGTTCAGGGTCTAAGAAATAAAAAAATTTACGCGAGACATGGGATACCATATATAATGGAATATTTAAATTTTATCCTCAGAACTGGCTTCACAAATTCAAATTCTTCTGTAAGTGTTGTTAAATAGACACAGTGGCAGGCCATAATGAAAACACTAAAATTTATTTGTAAAAAAGATTAATTTAACATTATTGAACATGTCTAAATTGTACAGTTTATCTAGTCTTTATAAATGCATATAAAATAAATGAAATAAAATAAGTTTTTAAAAGTCGCGATATATTTATAAATTATAATTATTTTGATCTTATTTTAATTAATATAATTTATTTTATTTTAATTTTAAATTTAAATAATCATCTCTAACAGTGAGTAAGTTGATTCTCTTGATATATTGGGTACCCTATTTTAAGCAACGTATTGCAACGATTTTACTTAATTATTAGATAATATGATTAAGTTATATATTTGCATATACGATAATAACACGTTAAAGCGTCTTAAAATGTCTCTTCGGCCATCAGAAGAATGGGATTCGATTCGTAGCGCAAAAGCCAAGACCTTTATAAGATTCGAATTGCTGCCAAAAGAGGGGTGTCATCTATCCACGAAGATAGGGAACCCTTATCGTGACATAAATAAAAGTCTATATACTTTTATACATCAATGAACTTTTATTTAGATTCATTAATCATATCAATATTTATTCATATTTTAAATTTTCTAAAATGATTACCTTAATGTTTTAAACTTATATGACTTCCATTCTATAAACTTGCACCAAAATTGTGAAGGTTTTATATTATAATTTTACACTCTTCGTAGACTGCGATATATACATTGTCAATAATTCCATAGTTTTAACCTTTTATTAGTTGTTTGTTTTACCGATGCTTTAGATATATTTATAAAAGTTATTATGACGTTGTTTATACATAATTCTTATATGCCATCACAAAGGGGGTGAATAAAAAATAAATGGTATTCAATTAAATTTATCAATCAGCTGTTTCATACAAATATTGTATACTTTGCATTTAATTTGCCAGTGGCGTCGCTTGTCTTTTTTTCTGGTGGCCATTACTCATGTTAGAAAGAGATAGGTAATGATAAAAGCATTCATAATTATTTCAAAAAAAAAACTGAAGCGTATTGAATTATAATAATAATAGCTGCTTACCCGTCAAGAATGACCGATGAATCAGACATTTTCCTTCATTTGATGATATATAAATCAGAAATTTAACTCTTTATCTACAATTTTTTACCTCTGTAATTTATGACATTTAATAATGAATTTGCCTTTCTACAAAACCTGCATATTATTTATAATAGAATATAAATTACTATTCTTATGTCTAAAAACTGTAATATAAGGCCATAATATGCAAAGATTTAGTCGGGCCATTCCCCTTGAGACATTTTTATTTGTGCATAATGACTCATTATTACTACTCACATCATCCTGCCTGTTGAAACCAGAGCTACCATAAAGAAAGGGAAAAAGAAAGGAGGAAAAATTAAGAAATAGAAAAGCAAAGATATGAAGGAAGAATTCTAAAAATAATATAATAAGCGGACTTGGGTTATTAAATTTTCAACGCATATGTAGCCACATTGGCATATCTCCATAGAAGTTTATGATTGCCAAATCCCCTAGATCTGAATTTCTCATCTCTAAATGTATAATCCAGTATTTATTATGTCGGGAATTCACCTATATTTTTTATCAAATCAAATCGGACCGATATTTCGCCTTTTCCAACAATGTTAAGGGGAATGAAACAATTGGACATAGCTCATGTTGATGTAGCAATTTCATAATATCTAAAAAAAAATGTATCTTTATGTGCCGAATAAAAATCTTTTTGCCTTCATTTTTTCTACCTTTTTGAATTTATGGTCTAAAAAATTTTATTATTGCTAGATGGGAGATTTGAAAAACCTTATTGTCAATTTTGAAAAAAAATAATTATTTTGGGAAAAAGACTTTAAAATATTAATTTATATAAAATTGAATATAGGAATAATGGACGATGCGAAATTATATTTTAAAAAAATATATTATTTTCATTAAATATTAAACAGATGTATGGCCTTACAAAACCCTCGTCTAGCAAAATTAAATTTATGGGTCATACCAGGGTTGTTAAAGGATCTAGATATAAAAATGTGGTATCTGTATCTAGATAGATTTTTGATTAAAATATCTGTATCTAGATATTATTTTAGACGATGTATCTGTATCTAGATCCATTTAAAAAGTATCTTTTAACAACTCTGTAAATTACAAATACAAATATATATAAAATGCATTTAATTAATATTTTTATATTGCGCACATTTTAGATATTATAAAATCGATATATCGAAAAGGTATATAACGTAAGTGGTCTGTATTTTTTTTATTTTGTATATAAATTTAATAAATTCTTCTAATATTTCGTAGAAGTTATAATCAATAACGTATAATGTTTTTAATTAGTTTATAAATAGTTGTTTATTTTGGTTCAACAACAAATATCATTAAAAAATTCTAAGATAATTTGGCCTTAAATAATGGAAGAAATATTCTTAAAAAAATTAACTTATAGCTTAACAATTAATATTTACTTATATATAATAAAATAGTAATTTATGTGGCTAAGCAAGGATTTTATATGTTGCTTTACATGAAAATAAATTTCCTTCACAATCTTGAACTGATATACCTTTTTTTTTCTCTTTAGCTTTCACCTTTTCTGGTGGTAAGCTACTCATCTCTCTCCACTTTATGTTATCCATACAATCTCTTTTATCTAACATATACTTCTTTATATTGGCTCTAACTTTATGGCCCCATTGAAGTTTTCAACCTTATTTCCTATGAAGTTCATAGGCCTTCTCATTGTGTGCCCATACCATCTAAGTCTGTTTACTATTAACTTAGTCAAAATTGACACTACCTTTAAACTACTTAGTTATCGTGTACTGCGCACTTTATCCTTTCTTGTTACTCAGCAATCATCCTCAGCATTCTCATCTCCATAGTTTGTAGACTTCTCTCTTCTGATTCCTAGGTTGACCATGTTTCCGAACTATATAGAAGGTTGTACGATGGAACTGCAAATTTTTCCCTTTAATTTGTGTGGGATTCTTTTGTCAAATAGCACCGCAAATAAAGATCTCTTATTTTAACCACCTTCGATTAATTTTACTCTTTATCTCTTTTTCTATTGTGGCGTTTGTTTGTATAGTGGAGTCAAATATTTGCAGCTTTCAATTGCCGATATCTGCCATTCATTTATATCAATAATCTCTGTTTCATCTCCTCCAATCACCATATACTCCGTCTTTTCTCTATTTACTTTTAATCCGTATTTTTCTAGGATATTTATCCAACTCACTAATTTTTCTTTCATTTCATCCTTGGATTCAGCAAGTTTCACAATATCATCTGCAAATATCATATTCTACGGGACTGTTTGAGGTATAGACTGTGCTAATACATCTATTACTATAATGAAGAGAAGTGGGCTGAGATCAGACTTTTGATGAACTCCTTCGGCTATTGTGAAGCCTACTGAAGTACCAGTTGTACTATGGACCATTGTGTATGGCCCATATACATTATCCTGTATTATTTTTTGAGAACCTTTTTGTGGCGTAGCGCCCACCAGATAAGTTTACTTGGGGGATTCTCTCAGAGGCCTTATCAAGATCGAGAAATACCATATGTAGCTTTTTGTACTTTTCTCTGTATTTCTCTCATTTGCTTAATTTCGTGGATTGCATTAGTCGTTAATCTTCCAGGCATAAAGCCAAACTGAGTCTCTCCTATTTCGACTATGTCTCTTAGCCTTTTTTTTATATTATTTTTTCGTAAAGTTTAAGACAGTGTGACATTAATTTTATGCCCCTGTAATTTTGACAATTGTGTGGATCCCCTTTATTTTTGAAGATAGGAACTAGATAGCTCTGCCTCCATTTTTGAGGAACCTCTTCATTTCCAAGTATTTTATTGTATAGATTTGTGAGGAAATGTATTCCATCATCTCCTAGTTAAGACTTTCCATTGGAATATCATCTGGACCCCTAGCATTGTTGTTTTTCATATGCTTGAGGCATGTGATTATTTCTTGTTCTTAGGTTGTACAAGGTTTTGACATGGGGAGTGTTCGTCTAGATATAGTATGTGAGGATTAAAGAAGAGATGCCCTGAAAATATTCTTTTCATCTATTTATTATTTCTTTTTCCTTTATTATTTCCCATCTTTATTTATGATTACTTTCGGAGCTCCGATTATATCCCTAGATTTTTTTCTCTCTGTTTGGCTAATTGTATATTTTATTTTGCCCTTCTTGGTAGTTCTTCATATATGTCATAATATGCCATAGCTTTGGCCCTAGCCACCGCCTTTGTAGCTATTCTCTTGGATATGTACCTTGTCTTGTCATCTTGGTTTCTGGATTTGTACATTATTTTGTAAAGGGATTTTTTCTCCTATATAGTGATTTGTACCTTTTCATTCCACCACCATAGTTTTTTGTATGATTTGTTATCTCCCCTTGTCAAGCCTAGTGTCGATTTGGCAGTGTCTATTAATCTGGATGAAAGGTCAGTCCACATTTTTTCACTGACTTGTGAGGAATCTATTGCTTCTATGTTTGCATTGATTACAAACACATCTGTCATTGTTTTTAATTTATTCTATTTGATGCATGGTTCCAGTTTTTTCTTGATTTGAGTGGATTTATTTGTGATGGCTTGTGTTGCGCGGCTATATCTTCTCCTGGGATGACTTTACACTCTATTACATATTTTAATCTTCTACCAGAGATTAGCATGTAATCTATCTGTGATTTCCTTGTACCACTTTCATATGTTATTGAATGACTGTCTTATTTCTTATAGTAGGTGTTGGTTAAGGAAAGGTTGAAGCCTTGCGCAAATTTCAGTACATGAACTCCTTCATCATTCTTTTATCCGTATCCAAAACCACCATGATGCCTTTTGTAGCTGTCTCTTGTTTTTCCAACATGTGCAATTAAGCCACCACCTATTATGACTATGTCATCATTTGGGATTTCCATTACAGCTTCATCAAGAATAGCTCTAACATCTTTCTTCTCTTCTTTGCAACCCTTTTGAGGAGTATTTACTGAAAGGATGGTATTGATTAACCAATGTAGAGTTTTATTTTCATTAGTCTATTCTTGTTAACTTCTACCACTGAGGAGGTTAGATCTTGACTGAGGATGATGCCGACACCGTTCCTATTGCTAACAATTCCATTATAGTACAATTTATACCCATCTCCAATTATTAAAGTCTTCTGAACTTTCCATTTCTCTCTCGTTTTACCTTATTCAAACTTGCTAATCTTGTCTTCTTTGCTTTGACCTTTATTTTACTTTTCACAGGATGGAGGTCTACACTCTGCGCGTCGCTTGGAGGTAACGCCCTAGCTTTCATATGCTTATTTTCATTTGTTTCCTACATTTTGTTTATTGAACAAATATCCTTAGCACCCGGCTGTCCAGGTCTGTCGGTGACCGGGATGTCATCTCTAAGCTCCGAAAGTCATGGAAGAAAAACCTGAAAATTTTTTTGCTCCTTACCAGGATTGAACTTGCGTCCTCTTCGTCCTTCTGTCTCCAAGCATACATCATAACCCATTAGGCCACCCCGGTGATAACAAAAACATCATATACAAACAACTATATAAAAATATATAATATTTATTACTTTTTAAAAGAATGCAAAAATATCAAACATATAAATAATATTAAAATCTTATAATAAAGGGTTAAAATTTAGTGGCCAATTATTTTTTAGTTGGGTTCCCAAAAATTGCATTTTTTTTTGCCGTAGATAGAGAAAGTCATTTGGTTCATTACTAAATGCCTTGATTTTTGAGTAAAAAAGTTTTGATAATTAGTATGTTAAGGGAAGAAAAAAAAACTGTGTTTATTGA